AACTTCTATTTCTTAGGAATTGTTCTCGTTAGGTCTGTGAACACTTGCGAAACAGCTGGAAATAAGATAGACATGAAATAGTTACTGCACTATAAATGTTTACCAGAAACTAGTATAAAGACGGAAACCAGTATTCAATTACAGATCGAAAGTGCATTTAGCACACCCTTCCTTTGGATAGTCAATCACGCTTATTTCCTTTATCTCTTGCGTTGCTTAGGAAAGTCTGGGTCACAACATACATGGATTGTATTATTTAATTCTTTGGACAGGTTGCACTTCGGGGACTTAGACGATGAACTTATATAGAGACTACTGTGTGAACTTACTTTGAATTGTCCTGTGTAACCTGCATTTCTTGATGCATAGTCTATTTTAGTCCCACGTAAGTTATGGGTGATTGTCATTTACGGCATTAGCACGTAAGCTAAACAGGCCTTGGTTGATTTCCGAAGATCATCACATAGGCACTCATACAATCTGGTCACCTGAGATCAAGATATCTTGGCTATCGAATCGTACTTTTCAGTGCTTTCTCATAACTGCTTTATATCAGTACTTATTTCTGTTATTAGGTATTTTTGCAAGAATACCGACAGCCAAAATATTGTAGCTCGGTTTCCGGTAAAATGTTCACATAGTTATACCTCTTCCGCATGATTATGATTTATTTCCTGCAATATAATAATTTGGTGGCCTATATATCTCACTGTAGAAGGTGATATTAACATCTTGGTATGTGTTATTATCATCTATAGCATGTACATAATATTTAGAACACTCGGGACACCTAATGTTTTCACTATCAACCTATTTCTGCAATGAAAGTCGAAAAAAACAGTGAAAATCAGCCGAAATTGTGACAAAAACAGGAAAAACGATAAATCTTACCATAGTATCGTTACTTGTAACGCAGTTTTGGTAGCCGTGACGACAATACAATTCTTATGACGATATAGGCCTAGATCATGCTATTTCATATAAAAATAAATGATTTGTCTACCATCAGTGTATAACTAAGTAGAAATAATTGCTATTCTACGATGCAAATACGAAAAAACTATTATAGCAGCACCTGAATAGTGAATTTTCAAGGACTTCGCGATACTATGTAACGCAAAATGAAAAAACCCTTTTCACCTAATTATGAAAACAGAAAATAGACTTATTTATTCATGATTAATTTCGAACATTGGTTGTGCACAAATCAGAAATGAAAAAGTAGCGCAAAAAAGTGTCGCGATACCCCTGGAGCGCTGCCCCCTTAGAAGTAAGATATGGCGTACCGATTTACTGAAAATTAAAGTCTCTATTGCATGAGATTAGCCACTTAATTGTGTATAATCCTCAACGAGTAAGCAAAGCGAAGAAAATGGATTATTTTACTGGCAGATATCTTAATTCATATCCAAAAATGTCTTGATGATGTGTAGGCAATGGAACAATTTATATCGTTTCCCATTTTTTAAACCCGTCCTTCTTGTGATATTACAAATCTCCCTGTCCTTCCACGAATTAATTACTTTAGTCTCAGATGATAAGGTTAATTATCGTATGGTTTGTTACCCCGATCCTTATACGTCTCTAGATTTGTGTACGGCTTTTCAACTCAACCGAAAGGGGGCAACAATGTTGGAGGCTTCAATATATCTCCACCAATATGAGAACAAAGTTGACAACGAGTGCAAATAGTTTTCCGAAAACATATCGCGGGAACTTCGGTGCACCTCCTGAAAAATATTTATTGATGACTGATTTTCTGATGGATGATGTAAGATACAATTCGTTCATCAGTTGTGTAGGTGATTATTAAAGATAACAAGTGTTGTTCTCAGCTGATTTCGAATGCAACGAAATGTTTTTCCCCAACTCTGTCGGAATGAATGGAAGGACGAATAAGGATCAAATTAAGCTTTACGCGATGCTCAGTGCATCGGAGAATTCATAAACGAATTCATTTTGTTTGGATTTGTGAAAAGCCTTTGGTCTTTCAAGAAAATAATGTGTGGGAAAAACAATTGTGATAGCTTCAAGAGTAAAACGGTTTTAGATTCTAGGTCACATACGTTAGTACGACCAAGAAACTGTCCATTTACAGGCAGCGTTTGATAAAACCTAACGAGTTGTCCGAGGCAATTAAGATGGTTTCGATAAAAATTCATACAGCCTAGTTTCTCATATGAAACATGTCAATTAGTGGCTGTCTCTTCAATGTCCTTGTCTTATTGGTATCTAACGATATGAAGAGATGTCCCTGAAAAAATCGTGGGTATTGTGGGGGTAATTAAATCCCCAAAATAAATAGCTCTGTAAGTCTTCGACCTTTGATGCTGACCACATTTGTTTAGAGAAATCACCTAGGTGAAGGCGCTCGATCATTCATCCTCACCAGATCACGCCGCGCACAACCTCTTATACAACTGTTAGCCAGTTTAGATCAGTCGCTTTTAGATATATTGATAGCTCATCCGATATATCTTCGAACTTCCTCGTTTCTGACTTTTGATTTCACTGGGTGGGTACGATTCAACTATAAAAGGTTCTACTGGACACGCTGATGTCAAACTAGAAATATCCGTCTCATCTTTAGGATGAAACGAGTTTAACACATCATGTAGGTTTGATGAAATATTTCACTGAGCCTTAAGCTATTTCAACAAGCTGTCCCTTACTTTCTGCTAGTCCTCTATATTTTAGAATATAGTTGTTGGTCTGGATTCGTCAGAAACGGCTGTCCGCCTCAAGACACCTATAAAAAGATACTTGAAAGTTCTTAATGCTATGACTAGCACAGGTAGATCGAAGATGACACAGGTATTCGGACTTTGACAGCGCTTTAACCAGTGACACCTTCTAACATGAATCATACCTACCAAATGAAATCAAAAAACAAAAGCGAGGAGTTTGGAGGATATATTTGATAGGCTATTGAGGCTATTGAGGATCGTCTGATCTAGTCTGGCTATCAACTATAGGGGTTGTTGAGCATGGCATTCCCACTCATGATTTTCTGCGGATCCATGACCAAGCGCCTTCAGCTAGGCGAGTCTATTAAAACTAATGTGGTAAGCATCCAATGTTGAAAACTTACAAAGCTTTATCTTTTGGGGATTTATTTACCGCTACAGATCACTCACCTTGATTCGGGTAGTGATGACCCTAAGACGTGGCCAGTCATAAGTTTAAATCCATAGAGTTTGTCGTTGGTAAACACTCTTCTGATAGCTTGTTATGCTTAGCAGCGTCTGGTCATCCTTCCTTACTGTAAGGGACCATGAAGTATAGTATAGTAAAAAAATAATTTACAACAAAAATTTTGATTTCTCCTAAACCTCATCGTTTTTTTATCGTCTTTTCCAGCCGTCCTGGAAAATATAAAAAGAATGTGTAAGTGCATGTCGAAATAAAGTCGCTTTAAGACACAAAATAGGCGAAATAAACTCATGTACATGTGATATCGTAAAAGCGATTTTTACAAAATGTTTTTTTATATTTTTAATATACATGTAACAAAATAACAAATATATAAAAATATATGCATATAACAACTGACTTTTTTATATTATATATAACGTTATGGAAAATCGAGATTAAACAAAACGTTGACTGATGTCTTACTTGCGATGGTCGTTTAAATGTTCTCCAAACTGCAGTTTGGATTGTCTATGTACGTTAGACACGCGCCCTTGCCTGTCAAAATCAAAACAAGTAATCGGGTAAATAGCGGTTCTATAATTTGTCATAAATTTAAGTGTACATTATTACCTAAACAAATATAACCAATCAGCTATCCAACCAATAATTGTTCAATTGATCAAATCTAAATTACAATAAATAAGAAAGTTGATAAAGGATGCAAGAAAATTACCAATCACCACAAATAAATGTTATTCTATCCTGCCTGGATAGATCACGTACAGATTCGTTCAAAAGATAATAATTGGTCGCTCTATAACAGTGTGTTTTCAATTCTGGAATAGTGCCTCAATTCACAACCGAAATGCACAATTCCAGTCAACACAGGTCAAGCAATCAAAAGCAGGAACAAACCAATATGGCTGCCGCCCAGACTTAGTATAAAGTAAAACAACATAAGTGCAGTTCGTGAATAAACACGGGGAATTAGTGAAAGTGTAGTAAAAACAAAAACTATAATAAAATACAAATATTAACAATTCAAATGTAGTCAAAAAGTTAACAACGTGCAACTAAGAGGATAAATAGGAACAAGGTGCAAGTATATACATGGAGGGATTTTCCCAAACACACAAAGCATTCAAATTGGATCTTACATGAGGTATTATAAGTGTAGGAGCCATGTCGTTCGATTGTACCGAAGGAAAGCCGACGTGAATAAGATTTCCTGCTTTGAGGCTATCGATGCTACTGCTATCGTTGGTTCCATTCTTATAGACTATATAGTACTTGGGTTGGCTTTGAACAACTTTAGAGGGTCCTTCGTATGCTGATTTGAGAGGTCGCCGATGTGAGTCTCGTAGATCGAAGACGTGTGTACTATATTGTAAGTCAGGTTGATCGAAAACATCAGTCGAGTCGAAATAGGTTTAACTGAACGCATTGCGTTTGTAAGCCTGTTCGTGTAGGAGGTTAGATCCATTTTCAGTGAAGAAGGTGAAGGATCCACGAATTCTCCTGGAAGTCGAAGTGTCGTTCTATAAACGAGTTGAGCCGCAGTGTATCAAATGTCAGCTTTCACTGCATTGCGAATATATTTTAAGACTTGTGGAAGAGCGTCGGTCCACTGTGAAACGTTTGCAGCTGATAAGCATCCAATGTTGAAAACTTACATAGCTATATCTTTTGGGGAGTTATTTACCGCTACAGAATGAACGACACATAATTTGGGTTTTTATTCTTTTAGCAACGCGATCAAATTTAATCATGATGAGTTATTTCTAGGTGACGGTAGATCTTTTCATTTTGTTTGCTACTATTTATTCAATATTTATTTTTTGCGCTTTGAATGGCGGGTTTCCGACACTTGGGTTACGTAGAGTATTATTACCTAATGTTCATTATTTTATTTCTTCCGTAAACGTGGTCATAGTTTTAGGTCTTGACCAATCGAACTTATTTTAGCGTTAAAATTCAAAGCTGAGCGGAATTTTCATATATGAATGATGTAGTAGGTTAAACTATCTGTTTGCTTTGATTTCCAGATTGTCGTAATTTGATGCTTGTGTTATTTTTTGATTGCTGTTCGTCGCCTTCCGCTGTACATCTGAATGAACTATAAGCTAACTGGGTTTTCCAGTCATCTTTTCACTTTTACTGTCTTTTCGCAACCCCGGGTACTTATAAGTACCTTTTGGCCTGACGCGGTCCGCTACAATTTAATATATTTATCCAAATAGATGAGTGTATTTTGCGCCAAAGTCCGAGACCTGTTACTTTACACGTGATTGGTTCGTCCATAGATTATGGTCTTGCCGTGTCTGATGTAAGATTAGATGGGAAGAAAACCATGCGCAATCAAATCAAAACTTGATACCAGTCCATGAACAGTTAACGATCGAATGAAGCCATTTTAACAGGTTCGCGTGAATATCGTAGCTAATGATCAGAGACTTTAAATGGCATAGTATAGAACGTTTGCAATGACACGGGTCCATCCATTCTTCGTCTTCTTAAATTCCAAGTTTCTAAATTCCTCATAATCATTTCACTACACTGATGTGTGCGCTTGTACCGTTACGCTAGTCAAACCAAAATCTCGTCAAATATATAAGCCTAAGTAATTGTACGCTTCCTGTTTGTGCTGTAAGTGATAACCGTAGTACAAAGTTATTTAGATGGACGTTGATCATATTTCCTCAGTAGTTAACCGTAGTCTAACTTATATAAAAACAGTTCATCATCATGTTATGAGAAATTAGCACTTGGATAATATACCTGTTTTTTGTTTAACATAAGGGAGTCAAAGTACCAATCATATGTTGATACATTCCCTAAAGTGCTACGTTTTCACGTATTTTATTGTATATTTATGTCAATTGATCAGTTTGGTAACTTGGACCGATGAATATATGTGTCTGGTCCTACGTTGTAGCTGATTTACTAATTACTGGGTTTTACACCGCTTCTATCCGTACAAAGTACAAGCTTCTTGAAGCATTTACTCTGTCACTCATAGTCAAATTCTAGATAATTTATATATGTACACAAAAAACTTACGGCGCGTTTTTAATGTAACATGTGATTGTCGTCTAATAGCATGATTATATCTTACGATATAGTGTTTATCGTCATGTAATAACTTTTTAAGTCATTCACATCCAATACAAAAATGATAAGTACTTCTCAGCGCGAAACTGACTCAGTTTATTTTGTCCATTACCATTAATTATGTATTTGTAGGTAAACCAGTAAAGTAATATTGGTATGTATGAGCAAAGATTGTTTCGAAAAATCATGTTTAGCTGACTTTAGTGCCTGGATCATGCAAAGTTGGAAATGTTGTTCTTTTGTTGTTGGAGAATTATGTTGGTTTTGGTGTCAAACGTTTCAGTCCTAGCTACTACTCCACCTATAAATACATGTCTTCCGTCATATTACTTCTCTAATTGAAGTATTTGTTTGTAGGCAAAAGTATTTATGTAACTAAGTCTCTTGGGTTTCAACGTTTTAGGTAAAAAAAGAGGATGGTTCATAATCTGACTGATGATATTGATTTAAAAGTGTCAACACTTGATCCAGATATACAAATTGGAGAAGTGTATAAAGTTTTACGATCTACTGGTCAATACTGTAACGTCCATAGTATTTTGAAACTTACTTCCTCTTGACATAGATCCTGCCGCTGTAATTGAAGGTCGTATAGATGGTAATGGGAATAAAGAATATTATGTTCATTATTGCAATCGTATGTTGTTTTACTTGTTTAATTGTTACATTTATCCAGACGACCGTAGATTAGATGAATGGGTTACATCTGAACGAATTGACCGTTCCGCAAAGCTCAAAATTCCATGCGAGTCGTCTCTTAACCAGTTAACAGATTCTGCTGGGTGTGATGTCCGATTCACCAGAAATCAGAAACGCAAGTTGGAAGAAACTTCCAAAGTTCTTCAAGTGAGTGGTAAATTATTAGTTTACATAACAGCGAAGTAAAGAATGGGGTTAACCATAGCGTAGAAGGGAAGAATGGCAGCTTAGTGAGGCTGTGAATTTTCATCGACTGAGGTGGTTGGAACTCGTGTTACGCATTCTCAACCGTCTACTACCCTAACAGTCATTTTTAGCCGACCTAGTAGTAGGTTGGAAGAAAGCTAAGGACAGGTAAATCAAAACGTGGTATCAGTCCATGAAAATAATAGCTGTTGACTTGAATGGTGTCGGTAGATACTACCTTTATGGGGTCCTCAATCAGGAGTTGAGGTTCGATGATATAATTCAGGATCAGTCACAATGCCATAAGTGCATTCACTCTCTGCTCTGCTCTAGTTTTTTAGTTCCACTATCCCTTCACATATTCCTCCTCGTATCATGTGTCTGTCATTATAGTTGTTACATCATTTTTATCCGTTTCTTATTCATGTTATCAGTTCATTCTTATCTTGCTGACGTAGTGTATCGAATTCACCCAACGCACATTTGCGTTAGGCTGTCAGTTGATTATGATTGTATGATCAAAGAAATGATCTAATTCTCCACAGATGTTTTGCATGTTTGTTGTGTATGTGATTTCTTTCTTTTGCCATGTTATTTTCTTCATTTCATGTGTTTGTTGTCACATGCTTTTTGGTTTAGTTGTTATCATATATATTTTTTCTTATTCACAGGAAAGTGACTCTTTAGACTCTACTACGCAAAAATTGGAGCTTGAATATCAAGAAGTAAGGTTTTTTTGAAAAAGTTAATTCGCATAGCTTTGATAATCGCGCTTCAATTTCTTCATTGAGTTTGTCTCTTTTACAATGATTTTTTTTACCACAAAATGCTTTTTTTATTTTGCGGGAATAGCTATACTAAAAATGGTCCTAGTAATAGATTTGTAACATTTGGGAAAATAACAATGCTAACATCCATTAAATCAATGTTGTTACGTTCTAGACTAATAGGGTTTATTCTAACTAGTTGTCTTTAGAATGAAATGGTAGGTTAGTCGTTAAGACGTTCAATTTCGAGCCACAAAGCTGCGGGTTCGAATCCCGCTCCAATTGTTTTGGCTTAGTATCACTAACCCTCACAGTTAGGATGTGACTTGAAGTCAAGTACATTAACTTGTAACTGCCAAATGAATCATCTTTTCTCTATCTCATCATTTTTTCAGTTAACTTAGTCTAATACTTCCAGATGTAGAGCAGATAGAACTTATAAATGATCATGTAAAAGGCTGTATGTGATTGTCCGCAAGCTGATATCATTTTGGAACTAATTCAACTGTTCTTTTAGGCACTTTAAACAAAATATCAGTTTTCACGATGTAAGCGACTGGTGACTATTATGTGTTTGAAAGTTTCCTTAGTCAAATTTTTCGATGTCTTCTTGACCTTTAAAAACAAATTACCATGGGTCCCTTACATTATCATCGAGTTTAATTATAAGTAGTCTACTCTGCATTTCTCTATGTATTTGACAAATAGCTGGTCGAGACGGCAAAACAGGTAGACTTTAGGTGTAGAGTAATCCCTAGAATGACCACAGTCGGTGATCGTCCCAGTCTAAATAAAATGGTGAAAATACTTTTGTGATGAACACAGAGTTGTGTTAGTTAATATAGGGCTTTACATATTAGCACGGAATATCGAACCCCAAAAGTTCTTGTCTATTTTCTGCCCTGGTACGGCCAAGAGTGGGGAGAGTCACGTGCATACAACCACTGCCAGGGAAGTTCTACTCACCGCCTTCTGCCGACGGGAGAGTTGTTTACAAAATTGAGAGGACGAAAAGAGAATGTCCGGCGCTTTAACCGGGTCAGTGCTTATGGTGGATTCACCTAGGAGAATAGGAAAACCCTGATTCTAAACCAATGGTGCACATGGACTCCAGGATCTTATGGAAACAAATGGCGTATGAACCAATTGTTGGTCACCGTCTACCATGGGACTGCATCTCCTGACTTTGCTTCACTTTCTTGGGGATTAGACTTTCAGGTCAAAAGCTCGGGGTGTGACCCCCTAAGTTGACCACCTGCTTCGGTTTGGTCACCCGGGCAGTATCCTAGTCCACAAAAATCGAATGATTTGTGTGGTGCATATCTGTTTGATTCCTCCTTGTAACAATGTTTATGTGTTTAAGTGAATAAATAACAGATGGGTTTTGTGGATATTATAGTAATTTCAATGGCTAAGATCATGAGTCATTTGAAGCTAGACCACCATGGAAAACCTGGAAGCACTTTACGGCCGTTCCGTCCTATTGTGGGACAATGGTGGATGTGTCGCTCAATTTTGTGGATTAGTTGAAGTTAGACATTAACACCGTTAGATGCCGGCTCAGTGGTTTAGTGGCTAAGTGCTCTCGCGCGAAACCAGTAGGTCCTGGGTTCGAGTCTCGCAGGGGCAAGGACGTGGATGCACACTGCTGGGGAGTCCCACAATAGGACGGAACGGCCGTCCAGTGCTTCCAGGTGGTCTAGCTTCAACTGACTCATGATCTTAACCATTGGAATAAATAATAAATGGAATAAGTTCTATGATCTGACCGTGAAAATGTACGTTTAGTATTCACACTTCGTTTGTTTTTGGAATAGAATCTTTCTTGCCTATGTGATAATTATAATTAGTTAACAGGCTTTAGTATACTTTTATTTCCCACTGAATACAAGATTTTATTCCAGAACTGGTCTTGATCAATACTTAGTTTGACTATACTGAGTGGAGTAGTCTATCATGTTAGCTACACAACACATCTTAAAATCCTTATTCCTATTGTGAGTTATTGAATGGCTAGATTTTGTCGCGGACACTAAAAGCCCTCTCGACGTTTCTCCGTCTGTGACACAAGTGCTTCAGGTAAAATCTCTATCAACCGATAAGTGATTAGACTTCGTAGTAGTTCTCACTATATTGCGAAACAGCTGCAAAACCCAGCCGCCATGTAAATCAACTATCTCAGAGAAGTCTGCATAAGTGCGAGTTATGTTAATATTGATTGAACCTGTCAGCTGATAGCTCAGTTATACTGTTTTAGCTTATGTCCGTGTAACATTTTTATTTCTCATTTTAATTATTCTGTGTTTAAACTTCACTTGTCAGTTTACTCGAGTGAAATTTATTGATCAGATACAATTTGGCAAGTACGAAATTGACACATGGTATTTTTCACCTTATCCCGAAGAATTTAGACAAGTGAAAAAGTTATGGATATGTGAATATTGTTTAAAATATATGAAGTATTCAGAAACATGGTTAAACCATATAAAATATGATTGTAAAGCAAAACGACCTCCTGGTAAAGAAATATACAATCATGGAAATCTATGCGTTTTTGAATTAGATGGCAATGTACAAAAGGTATACGTTATGTTTCGCTATTGTTGATGAAAGTGGTTTTATTGTTTTCGATTGGTTACGATTTATACTACTGTACTGGAACTAATAAGTCAAGAGTAAGTGAGATTATTTCGGAAAAAGATGATACTCTCATCTATTTTCAGTCCAGACGTTTAGAATGATGGGCGGAACACTTTAGGGAACAGTTTAGCTGGCCTTCAGCGACTCTACAACTACCGTCCATTCCCAGACAGTGTGAATGGAACATTGAAGTAGGTCCCCCAACTCTAGCAGAAGTGGTGTGGATCTGTTGCCTGGAGAAAGACTTCTCGACCTTGAGTATGCGGACGATATTGTCTTACTGTGCAATAATTCCCAAGACATGCAATTCGCGCTTAATCAGTTGGCATTCAGTGTCTGTAGGTATGGTATGTGCTTTGCACCCTCGAAGTGCAAAGTACTTCTACAAGACTGGCAGGATTCCAATCTTGTACTCACCCTGGATGGTGAGCAGATAGACGTAGTCGAGAAGTTCGTGTATCTGGGTAGCTGCATAAGTGCTGGTGGGGGTGTGAGTGATGAGATCAATGCACGTATAGTGAAAGCCATAGTGGCTTATGCCAATCTGGGCCATCTTTGGCGCCTTCGTGATGTTAGTCTGGCTGTAAAATGTCGGATCTACAACGCGTCGGTGAGAGCAGTTTTGCTCTATGCTTGTGAAACCTGGCCTCTCCGAGTTGAGGACGTTAGACGACTCTCTGTGTTCGATCATCGCTGTCTCCGAAGGATTGCTGATATTCAGTGGCAACACCATGTCAGTAATGCAGAGGTTCGGCATCGTGTGTTTGGGCACAGAGATGATAATTCAATTGGTGTCACCATCTTGAAACACCGACTTCGGTGGCTTGGACATGTTCTACGAATGTCGTCCCAGAGAATTCCACGTCGTGCATTATTTGCCGACTCTGGGACTGGTTGAAAAAAGCGGAGAGGTGGTCAGTGCATGACATGGTGTCGTGGTATGAAAGAAAGCTGCAAAGGACTGGCTTCTGTCGGTCCTTCACGACTCCCTGGTTGGGGTCTGAGAGATGGTGCTACACAGTGGCTAGAGACGTTATCAGATATGGCTCAGAATAGAAGCCAGTGGCGATCCTGCTGTAACCTTCTTTTACTTTCTTCATAAAAAGTGGTTGTGTCTCCCTTACTTGAAAGATTTCTTCTGATTGTACCTTTCTGTTCCATCGTTACGACCACACTACCTTTTGTGGTCCTTAGTTTTTTTTTTTCTATCTCTCTTCGAATTTTCATTGTTTTTTGTGGCGCATATATATTGACGCTCTCTTGTACCAATATTTATGTGTTCAAATAAATAAATAAATAAATAAACAGAAGTTCAAAAGGCTATAGTTAATTTGAAACGAAGAAGAGCAGCTGGTCCAGATGGATTAGCTTCAGAAATCTTTAAGGATGGTGGTCCAATTTTAGCGGTTAGGTTGACTAATATTTTAGCTAAGATCTGGGAGTTAGATGTTATTCCATCTGACTGGTCGCCATCACTTATCGTCCCAATATATAAGAAAGGATCAAAATCATCTTGTGACAACCACAGAGGGATTAGTTTAGCAAATATAGTATCTAAAATACTAGCCTCAATAATAATCAGACGCCTAACTAATACTCATGGACTGCAAGCACGAGAAAACCAAATTGGCTTCAGACCTGGTCGTGGCTGCATCGACCACATATTCACCATTCGTCAGGTTCTAGAACACAGGCATACTTATCGACGTCCGACAATGGTGGTCTTTCTTGACTTAAAAGCAGCATTTGACTCGGTGAAGACGCTGACAAAATGCAGAGTCTTTTGGTAGCACTAAGCTACAATGCCAGAATGTTTGGAATGCGCTTCTCTCCCTCTAAATGCAAGTTGTTGCTTCAGGACTGGTCTGTGTCAACACCTGAACTAAGGATAGGGAGTGAAGTGGTCGAACGCGTTGAAAACTTCACTTATCTTGGAAGTCTGATCAGCCTTAATGGGCTGGTATCGGACGAAATCTCAGCACGGATTCGAAAAGCTCGTCTGGCTTTTGCCAACTTACGTCACCTGTGGCGAAGGCGAGATATCTGTCTATCAATAAAAGGACGAGTATACTGCGCGGTAGTCCGTTCTGTCTTACTTTACGGCAGCGAAACATTGCTTTTAAGAGTAGAAGACACCCGTAAGTTGCTAGTATTTGACCACAGATGCCTTAGAAATATTGCTGGCGTCTGTTGGGATCACTGGGTAAGTAATAGTGAGGTTGGACTCAGGGTATTAGGTAATGATGGTAAATCAGTTGATGAGGTTGTTAATCTTCATCGACTGTGATGGTTGGGCCACGTGTTACGTATGCCTAAACACCGATTACCACGACGTGCAATGCTAACGGGTGTTAGAGATGGTTGGAAGAGAATTAGGGGCGGCCAAACCAAAACGTGGCATCAGTGCTTGAAGTCACTAACTTCTAGTCTGAGCCATGTTGGTAGATGCAGACTACTTGGTTGGGGTCCGCGTGACTATCGTAACCAATGGTTGGAGACTCTTGGTGACATGGCTCAGAATCGATCACAATGGCGTCGGTGTATACACTCCCTGTCTTCCCTTAAACTAAGAGATTAAAATCGCCTCATATCTTTCTTTCTACGAACTAATTCTATATTCCGGTACTGTATCCTTATATGCAATCTTTGTCCTACATATTACCACCTTTCACCTAACCACTCCCATGAATCCGGTGTTCATCTTGCTGTGCTAACGAGGTATGGCAACCTGGACCGATGCACATATGTGCCTGATCCTACGTTGTAGCTGACTGACTGATGCTACTGTACCTCAAGTTCCATTGGCCAAAGCAGTACCTGCCACTTGTAATTCGTGCATAACTTACACTTAATCTCGAAGTTATTGATTTGGTCGTTTCACTACACACAAAGATCGCTTCGAACCTATGTGAACTTGCACACCAACTTCCATCCAGGTTTTGAACCTATCTGTCAGTGATATTTGTTGAAAATTCGACAGTTGTTGTTAGCTTTAGACACGCTCCAGAACATGCCACATCGATTGTGTTTGTGGCAGTTCTTATATCTTTGTAGAGTAGAGTATCTCTTCCAAATATCTTAATATGATAATTGGTTATGTTGCTTCTATCAAGTAATTAATTGGTTTTAAAAGCTCTAGTTAACCCAAGGATTGTAACCATCTAAGCATAAATATGTAGATGGGATCTATGGCTGAGTGTGCTTAAAATATGTGGAACCTCGGTATTACTCTCTCGGTGATGAACAATGGATTCTATAAGAGTTATTATTAATAAGGTCGCGTGTTGAACCAGTGAATAAATTTTTCTATGTAAAAATGATTATATGAAAGTTGTGTTAAAACCTAATTTAGTCAACTAGTTTCTTAGTAATTTCATCATCCATCTTATCTCTATGTGATTGTGAGTTTTTTCAGATGTAACTAGTCACGTCTTTAGTCACGTTGTGGATCAACCAAACCATTAGTGTTGGTGCTGTGATCTGTAATACTATTTATCATTGATTTATACATGATTACATTGACGATATCATATCAAGAATTCGATCCCTAAACTGGATAAAGTTTCATCTATGAAAAAATTGATGTAATTATCCTACCGTTAATTGAATCATGTTATCAACGTGGTGTCTCATGTTAAGACATTTTATAGAAAAATAAAAGACCATTTAGACAAATTAAAAGGTAAGTGGAAACAAAGATAGTAATAAAGTACACAAAAACAATGTGAGAATCACACTGGATAATAAATCAATATTACCAGGGTAGGTTCCGGGTTAGAATAAATTGTTTTTGAACACCTAAAGGGGGTTTCAGTTTCCGTATAACCAAGGTTTCAATAAACCTTAGTATACACCCTTGAAGGCTTTTGTACAAAACTGCAACTACAGATTTGCCGTTCATTGTCATTCTAACCAACACCACCAGGGCCTTCGACTTGAAGTAGCGATTGATGATATTGTCCGAAATGGCAATGAGCTCTCTCAATAATTAAATCATCCAGTTCAGAGACCTCAGCAACAACAAAAGCGCAAACATGTATGCTAAGTTCACTTTCATTGTCCTTGTTCTCCGATTTCTCTTTCTTTTTTGTAATATGCTGTACTACTTATTAATTTTTAGTAACATGTTTCATCTTTAGCAACTTTTGAACACGTAGTTTGACGTATATTTGTAATCATATCATTTTCCTAACTATACATATAAGCTGATTATATTCAACTTATTTATTATTATAATCACACCTTCTTAATACTTGGAATAAATATTTTCAATCCCAGTGTATCTGATGAATGTTTATTTTATCATAACAGTCTCCATGTTTTGATGTTCTTCAATTTTCTTTTGACATTATCTCCCATTATATTTTTGACACAGCTATTAGCTGTCACATATATAATTGTATTTTATTATACATAACTATATATCCATTTTAGGAGGCGCTGTTTTCTGATTGTACATGAACTCGACAAACGCCGTAGATGCCTAACAAGTTTAGCTTTGTATTATATTTCATGTTATTTCACAATGGTAGTATCGTCTTTATAGATAAGTCTTGTGTTCACTGTTCAAAAAAGAAATGACGTTATCGTTTTTCGCTTTTATTATTATTTTTTTACAGCTTTACTGTCAAAATCTATGTCTGTTGGCCAAATTGTTTCTAGATCATAAAACACTTTATTATAATGTCTCACCATTTATATTCTATGTTCTATGTGAGATAGACAATAATGGAGTACATATTGTTGGTTATTTTTCCAAGGTAATTTGTATTCATCTTGTCCTTATTTTTCATTATCAAAGAAATCAAATTCTTACTCACCGGTTCGCGTTTTAAATATAAAACATATTAATGATGAAGTACGCCGACTTGGTGGATTGAGGTACGGGTTAGTACTTTGCTCAACTGGTTTCAGTCTCAACAGTCAAATATAGCATCATTTATCTTCAAAACTAAATTGTGGCTCAAATTTTAAGTAGCTGGGTTTGTACTTGTTCTAAGCGACTTTCATTAGTAAGAAGACATGTTAACAACCTTGAAAATGATTAAAAACAATGAGAAAAGTAAGGAATAGTAGTAGTAGTTCAATTGTCAAAGGAGTGTGACCGGCTGTCCCTAACCGAATGCCTATGCCATGCAACGATTGTTCTTAAGTCATCTGAAATGGAAACTGGACAAGTGGTGATTCCGACGACCTGGGACTATAATCATACGTCACACACTGCCTGTGTTCATGTAATCCATAGAGGAGGATGTGGTACGCTATTTTTAGGGTTGACCATACCTATACCTCTTCTTCATCTTTGGGAAGGCAGCATTACTGCAGATACTGGTTATCTGAAGGAAATACCTTACTAGCATCGCGTCCTTGTACAATCAGCACTACCGTTTCACCCTTGCACAGTAAATTTCTTTTTGGTCTTATCGCCCTCCAGTCAACCATCTCGGGATGGTAGGATATGAAGAAAAAATTGCTATAATCAATATAGCTCGATGAAGTTATCACGGTGGGCAACCTCGACCACCACATCAAGGTAACAGTTATGGTTTAGTGTTCAAAGTGAAGTAGTAACAATCTGATAACAGTGAGTAGTGATCGCATCATATTACCAAAATAACTAAATCTGAACATGTATATAAATGAGTCTCTACTTAATCGTCTGAATGTGTTTTGTGATCACAATACTTGAAGATTATATGTATTTGATGCTGTTCAAGATTTGTAAATGCCAGGAACTATTGCAATAGATTTGTCCTATACTTCTCCATTATTTTGTGTATCAGTTTTCGGTGACACAAGTATCTTCAGAAGTATAAAATAAAACATGAAAATGGAGTTTTTCTTAAAAAGTGAAGAAGTAGATTGTAAAAAATTATGATTAAAATAATGTATTATACATTGATCAATAGAAAGACAAAGATTGTAGCTGGATCAGTTAATTGTGTATTGATTTAGAAAAATCGTCAATCTAAGAACTGCAACCATATTTTTGTTATCTTATAGACTTTTTTTGTAGAAAAAAATACATTGAGTCTTTCGAAGGTCATTCTGAAGGCCTTTGTAGGTTAGCTATACACACTATATTCCATGATTGCTTTTGCATTGACATAGTATTCAACGTCGGCTCCAAGGGTAACCTTTAAGTATAATTCCACACGTGATTCACTTAGTTCAGTTTGGTTGTATTGCTTAACTGAACTTAATTTTCGATGTAGAATTTATACTTAAAATGATCGTATCAACTGAAATTCCATTGTTTCACCCAAGAAACTGATCTGAACTTCTTCAAAAAATTATCAGAATTATCAAGGAAAAATCACAACTAGCGCAATCACTGAGCTATTAGTCTGCATTGTTTGCACTAACATGTTTTTTCCCCAGATTTTCAACGGTCAATTTATTTAATAATTCCGTTTCGTCAGTCAAAATAGCCGTCACAGCTTTAAGGATATTACTGAGAGAACGTATGCGTAGAACCCTTATGAATTTCGTGTTAATACTGTTCGCAAAATAAACATTTAAACATAACAGGCTAAATGTTTAGTGCAGACTTGCTTTTAACCTTATTCTCTGGTGGTTCTGATTTTGTTTATTTCACTGAAGTTCAGGTCAGTTGCTCAGGTGAAACTTTATAATTATTTAAATTTCAGTTGCTGAGATTTTCTCAAATATAATTTCTTCATCTAATGTGTGCTACATACTTAGCAGCCGATTTCTATCACACTATTTGTTTAATTGATGATGAATGTGCATTTACTTCTAATTGTTCATTTGTTTTGTGATTTCATTAAAACTAAGTAATAAAATTCAAGTATTTGAAACTCATCAATGTTGTCTATTTTAGTAGTTATGTTTGGCACGGTGACTCAGTAGTTAATGCGTTCAATGTTTATACTTGAAGGACCCTCTACTTATTCCTATTTGACCATTTAGGTACGATCACTGTCCCTCACACTTAGAATGCAACTTAAAACCAAGTTCATGAGTCTGTATCTGGCAAATGAGTTGATAATATAATATTTATATGTCATGTCTTAAGAGCATTCTATGGGACACAAAAGATCAGCTATGTTACATATCAATCAACCAATTTCTGCTCTATATGTTGAAATATTAAGCAAATCCTACCTCGTCTTTCCTTTCTAAAATATTTTCTTTTTCCATTTTTTTTCAGGAAAAAGTATCTGCTGATAATTATAATCTTGCATGTATCTTGACTTTACCACCGTTTCAACGTCGTGGATATGGTCATTTCTTAATTAGTCTCAGTGAGTTTCTCTTATATTTATACATTGTGATTGTTATGCTTCTTTTTTAGCATAATTAAATGACTTCGTTTATGAAAACATTCGGTGTGTGTAATTTTGAATGAATTATGTCTAGATGCAGCCTAAATTCACTATTTTTGCTTTGTTAGCTTAAATAATGTTTTTCGTTCTTCAGCTCTTCTTGTCGTTTTTCTGTCTATGTACTGGCGTAACTTGTGACGATTTAGACCGATAGATGTTTGTACTAGTTCGTGCCTTGTCTATGTATTTGGTTGTTTGTATCCATGTATCTCTCTCTGTATATATATATCCTTGATACCAATATATTTTTTAAAGTGACACTTTTAGACAGGAAATAGTTATGATAATGAGTGGGTAATGAGTAATTGAAACTATATTTGTCATCCTTCCATTGTTTAAAGTCGTCTGATTTGATAATATGCAGACCTTAACAATTTATAAATGGTTTCCGCAAAATATTTTTTGTTAAAACTATATAGTATTGAAATTTTCAATCCACAATATTCACATTTAGTTACATTCAACTACATCAGTGTTTTGATCTTTGAAGTAGGCTGGATAGCTTATAAAGTTTATCTCTTACTTCATCCGAATCAGTGTGAGCGTAGACAGAGACAATGAAGAGACAACGGTACGTGTCCCTATCTTTTTGAGTGCTTACTGTCCAGTTTAGTTGGACAGCACAAAAACGACTGTCTATCAGCATACATTCTAGGAAAGCCTGTCGTGCTTCCAAACTTAATGCCGTACATATACCGACGAGGTCACGGGAATGAACAGTGAGGACTCCAGATACACAAATGTAAATCGTGCCGGTTCTTTAGATTGGCAAGGTGAGGTCAAGTAAATGACAATGCTTTGATCCTGTATGCATGTTCCGGAGACAAAACACATTGATGGAGCGAGATTTTAGTTTCTTAGCTTAAGAAGCCTGTTGTCCTATGTGATACAAGGTTTGACCATTCAAAGATCCAAAATGCAGTTTACAGTGTGGTTTCCGAATACCAAAAATAATATTTCGTGAACTCAAATCACTAACACTGGTGACACGTGAGGATAAGGATATACGAGCAGAATCGGCTGTAGAAATTCGGTCATGAACATGATGGTCTCGGGTGCTCCTAGAGGTATGAGGGGTTTTTCACTTTGCTGCAGATGCTGATTATCCGAGAAAAACACCTTACTGTTGTCACACCGCTCTATAGTATACAACATGACTTCACCCTCAAACTTTAAGTTGCTGCTTTTACTGCTATCCTTCTCCAACTGACCTGTCTGGCATGGTAGGACCCAAAGAAGCATGTGTTCCAGCCAATATAGCTTAGTTGAGTCATCACGTTCAGCAAGCCTGATCACTACGTTAAGGTAGCATCTAAGTTGCACACAATTTTATTCACTTAATTTAATCATATCAATTTGTTTTGCTATTGTTTTTGTTGTTTTCTTTGTTCAGGTTATGAATTAGCTAAAATTGAACAAATTGTTGGTACACCAGAGAAACCTCTCTCCGATTTAGGTCGTTTAAGTTATCGTAGTTATTGGGAAAAGGTGATATTGAATTTTCTATTAGAAAATCCTAATTGTACAATGAATGAATTAAGGCAAGCTTACAAATGTTTAAAAGTAGTTGTATTTTGCCTAAATAAATAGATAATACTTTTTGTCCATTACATTCACTTGATCCAAATCAGAAGCAGACAAGGGAGTAATATTCCGAACAATTAAAACCACAAAACGTTCAGTAATAAAAATATGGGTTTTGCATAGTATTCACAGAAGAATCTTCCATATTCTTGATTTATCTTATCCACCAGCACTGATGAAAATGAACCAACCAAAATATTAGGATCTGAGCATGTAATTGTGGAGTTTCTGTTCTCTCTTGTTTCACTAAGCTTACAATGTGTTTTGATAGAGTGCTCCTTATGGGATTCAAACTTGTGTCATTATACCTACAGACTAAATAACTTTCCTCTGTTCACGTATTATGAGGTAGAAATAAATATTAACTAAATAAACTTTTCAGATTGTTCGCACAACACCAACCGGTTTCATTTGATAAACAGTTGAAAGAATGTAAGGAAGCACTTATGAGCTGTTCTATATTAGTCTCATACTCTTCAGCAGTAGTATTCGATCAGAGATCTTCCCTAGGTTTGTCAGCGGAGAGATAATCTTTAGATCATCGCGTCACAATCTAGTGATTCCAGCTTCCAAGTGTAGTTAATTAGATTTCTACACAACTTATTGTGGGTTATGTTCTGGAGTGTACACCCAAATTTTCCACCAACGATCGCCCCCATACTAAGACGGGACAGCTGTTCATTGAATAACACCTAGTTTTTATTGATAATCACTTTCTGATCCAATCCCACTATACCTATTTTGTTTTAGTGAAACGGTTAGTATTATTAGCTCTCACACTTAGATTGTGGCTCTTATTCAAGTCTCTGACGAGTGAATTTGTTTTATATTATTGTGAATCATTCTCATAAAACAGCTAGCCAATACTCTTTAGCTTTCAATGAATTGTTACCGTAAATGAAACCAGTCTATGTTAAAATATAGTCCATTAATCACAAACTTTCTTTATGTAAACATTTTCTATCAGTTCTTATTTCATATGTTTATTTTACATTTAGTAAAACAACATGTATTGCCATTGATGACATTATTTGGACATTACAATATCATCCAATTATTAATAATTGGCAACATGGTCATCAAATATGCCTACATCGTGATACTATACAACAATATTTGAATCAATTAAATGATGAACATTCTATGAAAGCCTTTCCTACAGATGGTAAAGAACAACGGAAAATTCGTAAATTGATGCATAAAAACTCTTTTGTATTGGATATCAATCGACTGAAATGGGATCCACCAATTAAACCATCACAGAATAACAAAGAAAGTCAAATGTAGTTAATGCTGTTACGTATTTTTTTTTGTGTGTACAAATTCAGTGACTACTGTTATTATCATCGTCAGTAGTTATAAGATTCTCTTTAAAGTTTTATTTTTTGTTTTTATAATCAACTATTTTTTGTTGTTGATTTATTTAATTGTGCTATTATTAATTAGTGCATGAAGTTGATCTCCCTTAACATTTCGATGTAAATACAAGTTTCTTTTAATAAATTAAAATTAAATGTGCATTTATTGTCCATCTAGAAATTTTGCTTTGATGTTTATTGGTTCTATGTAAAAGTTTTCAAGATGCGTTGAATGTGTGGTCTTGTGTAATTGTTGAAATTTTTGAAAAAAGATTATTTGCTTACGAAATATATTGAGGTAAAATACATTTAAAAAAGTTTATTCCTTTAACGAAAAGTTTTTTATAGTGATATTATATGGTTGTTTTTACTGACAAATCTATCGATAAAATAATATAAATCTAGCATTTCAAACTATTTGAACTCTGTCCTAGGAGTTAGAAGGTCTTCATTTAGAAGAGTTATGACGCTTCATGTTGAAAGCCGAGTTCCTTCAGATGCCACGAGGCTAATGCCCCTTCTGACAACTAGAGCAACCATAAATTTAGGTACATAAAATGCTCGTACAATGTGGAAGACTGGGAGGGTCATCCATATTGCTGCAGAAATGAAGAGATACAACCTGGAGGTGCTTAAAATCAGTGTAACACATTAGACGCAGGTTGAACAACAACGACTAGCTTCAAGGGAACTTCTGTAGTCATTTCGATATTTGCTAAATGTGGAATACAGAATTCATGTTTTGTCATCATAACGTTGAACTTGAGCCAAGTTTGTATTGCTTTAAACGCCAGAATACTGTCCACTAGCCAGTCTTGTAATCTACCAGTGTCTATTCAGCATATAATCGACCTGTAATTTTAGGCTGTATCAGACAATAAATTTTTGGATTCCTCATAAAATTGGGTTCTGTAGTGCTACCCGTTGAAACCAATCTAACTTTGTATACGTTTGTCAGGGAATATGGTGGTACTGATAACTATTTCTTTAAAAGCACATGAATTCACAGATCTCCCAACATTGTCATTCTTTTGTCCCACTCCATGTCGTCCCACGATATCATCATACTCGATGTTGTACACTCCGACTTTAGTGTTTCGGTTTTCCGTCAATATGGTCAGGTCCTTTCCTGAGCTCGTCTTTACGATCAACCGCAGCCTCATGAGATTGATCTTTATCGTCTTCGTTGCTATCATTGGTAGGCGCATAACACTGGATAACATTGATTGTAGTCCCCTTCCTTTTCCCAAGAATTCTTTGGTGATTCTATGTCCATAAGGTTTTTATACTATACGTGCTTTTCGTGCTTCTTTGGACACCATCAATGTAACAACTTGTGAATTCGAAGCATTTTCTTCTTCATGGCCTGGGTTTGATAACACCTCTCCCGAGGCTATTCTTTTCTGTCCAGCTTGGATCCAATGGGTTTCACTTATTCTGAACACCACAAGGTTATATCTCATTTACGCAGTTATTCGACTAGCCCTCCCAGTCTCTCACATTGTCTGGATATTTCATGTATCCATGTTAATTGTTGATCTAATTGTTGGAAGGGACATCAGTCTCGCAACTTCCGAATAAAGTGCAGACCCATACCCAAATCTCCTCCTTTGTGACCATTATACAGTCATGTGCACCGTGTTCGTAAAAGAAATACTAGAGGGATGAGAATGTCCCATACCTCAGCTTAAATAGAGCAGAACACACTACCACGATGAAGCATCTTTACCACGCCCCGTGGCCACGAGAATGGTACAGAATAATAGTTGTTGACAAATGGAAGGTAGTGAAAGGAATCATTTAGAATACTATCCAACACAACGTATCTAAAGGTTAGCATGTGACAGCTAAACACATTATAAATTTACGTGATTTCAATGAGCTATAAAACTTTTAAAACAAAGACTAGTACGTTCCTGCCAAAACAAGTAAAAAATCAACCGTTAATTTCAATACTTCTATTAAGGACGAAGACAAACACTCATCATAGAAACAAAACAAAGTCTGGATTGACAATCTATCAGTTGAAATATTTATGTGTTCTCTATTATGTTCTGTGATTCACGGGCATTTGCATGAATTGCATCAATGCTTATTGGATAACTCACGTAGTATGCATCCTTGAAACTCTCGATATGACAGATTTTCACTGAGAAACAATGTTTCAAAAGAGCTTCTTCGATTTGTACAATTTTGGAAAATGGACTAGATTGCAAACACACAGCTGATCGAATATTTCGATCTAGTATGGAACACATCCACAATGATCACTCACGACACCACTAAAGTTCGTTCATAGTAAATTCAGGTCTCATGTACGATGGGTCGTTTTAACACAACTTGTTATCTCGCATTTTTGATTTCAAATGAAAAGGTGGATCGTGAGTAACAGTAGTCAGTTTACAACTGATAGATGAGTAAGAAAATCCGTACTGGATACATGAGTAGATCTGTTATCTTTCATTTAAAATGAACAAGTTCACAAAATTAAAGATCAAAAGAAATTGACTGAAATGTATCTCTGCATCTCCCAACAATAATATACTTCTTCGTTTTCTAAAATAGTGAGATCTCCCGATCCTCTTACATTTTTTTAAATCAAACATCACTGTAATAAGAAACTTGAGATTATTCAAACTCGATTGTAGTGAAAACCGACAAGCATACTGAAATATGTGCACCACTTGATTGTCAATCTTAAAAATCACAACTGACAATGATTTATGTGGTAAGAAACCATCGAATTTGTACAAGTGAATTCTACTCTCCAATAATAATTATCAAACATTAATCTATTAATTTCAATAGTTAAGATCATGAGTCAGTTGAAGCTAGACCACCATGAAAAACCTGGAAACACTGGACGGCCATTTCGTCTTATTGTAGGACTTCTCACTGCTCCAAGGTTTTCCATGGTGGTCTAGCTTCAACTGACTCATGATCTTAACCATTAAAATTACTCTAATATCCACAAAACCCATCTGATATTATTCTATTACTCAAGAATATTGTTCCATTTCACTTTTCACTCTTCTCAATACAACACACTTTATCATTATATGGTAGTTGATCTAGATCAATATCCTGATCATTTGAGGTCGTCACAGCAACCATCAATATTGTGACTTGTCATATTTCAATATTATCTTGATGTGCTGATGCCACGTAATTCACATCAATTCCGATCGCATATTCTAATGTCAAAGACACTACCTAGATCATCAAGTGTTTGCTAACTTATGTCCTTTGTCGAAATACATATGTTCTCTCGTTAACTTCCATCTCCTGTTTACTCACAACCCTGAAATGCTAATCCATGAAATGTTCTTGTAACTGTTGTCCACCTAACTAATTACACAAAATAAACATTCACACTCAGAGAATCTCCCTTCGAAATTACATAATTAACACTGATGTAAAGAAGAACACGTAACAAAGTATGTTTGGAGATATAAAAACAAAACGCACACATACACACACACACAAACGCACGCACACAATTTTGTACAATTTTCAACGCATGACTACTTCGCAACTATTATAAATTAATAAATTAAACCAATAAAAAATGGGCTACGTATTTGTGACATTTACAATTAAATATACACTATAAACAAATAAACAAACACTATTTTATTTTAAACAAATTCACATGGGATATGATGAATTCATATTGAATTATTGAAACGGTCTACATAAATATAATAAATATGAGAATGAATAAATTTTATTGACTAATAAATATTGAAATAAAAGAATAATTAATTAGTCTATAGATCATAACGACGAGAAAGTAAATAGAAAGTAATTCTGGAACTCACACGCACACACACACATATACAGAACTAACCAGAAAATATTCAACAACAGAATGCATTCATGATACGTTCAAGATATATATGTATATGGAGTCCTTTCAATAGTTTGTCTATTTTCTCTTGTTGCTTACACTGTGAATTATTGGTCTTTCAATATTAATTAATGACTATTGTTTGAGTGTTGAATTTTGTTTTTTGGTCTGAAAATGAAAAAAAAATACAATTTTGGTCATGATGACAGTTGCTTGGTGTGTATGTGTGTTTAGATGATATAACAGTTATGATGGAGTTGAGAACAGTTTGTACTACGGTTGAATAGACTGTTGTGCGTGAAACAAGATAAATGAAATACTCCGAAATATTATTGTGTCCAGAATGATGTTGATAGAATAGATATATAGAATAGAACAGAATAGAATAGTGCTGTGAAAATAGATCTCAATAATTATGCTATGACTGGTGATTGACTGTTTGAACTGGATAACCAGTTGTTATGACTGGTCGTCGCTAATTTTTATTTCGGAATCGCTCATTACTTGTGCTTTTAAAACGAGGAAGCACTGCAATTCCCACACAGCAAAGTGTGAACACCAAGACTGAAGATTTATTAACCTTAAAACGTGACGATCACCCTAGTTGAAAATACACTCATTTATATATTTATTATTCACCCATTTTGTTAAGGGTTGAATCGCATTATTAAATCACATTCTGTATGTCATGATATGCATAGTCCATGTTAATCTAATACAGGAATATCATATGTTATACCGAATAAAATATCATACTGGAAAACATAAACGAATCCTACACTGAATAATCATTTTATTGAATTAAAAACGGAATTAATTGTTGAACAAAAATCACAATGAGTAACTGAATGTAATTTTGCCTTGTCATCTCGTTTTATCACATCTCTTTCTTATTTAATGAAATATGTCAGAATAAGTTTTCTATGGATAGTCTATTTGAAAAAAAAGTGTTATTCTTTTCCTACTTGCTTGGAACTTGGCTGACCACGTGGTTGTGTTCCAACTTATGTGTTCGTATTAGTGCATGTGGGTATACACAGTGGTTGAAAGATCATTTTGTGACCCTTGGACATTCTAGTTTTGCATTTTCTACGCATACACTTTTTATGTCAACTGATTTATCATGTCATTGAAGAGGGATTTTATGTAACATACATGGGGTGTGGGATCACCCAACATGTTTTGCAAAACATCTGAAATGTGATCAGAATGTGGCTCATTTGAAAATATTTTCTCACACTGACTAGACATGAATGGGTTGTAAGAATAATAACAATTTTTGTGGGTCCTAGAGAACTATAATTAGATTTGAACTCATTGAGAATTTGTGTTTCATATTGACTAAGATTTTCACTATAAACGAATGAACCTTGAGAACATGCAACATTTATTATGATTTCACCAGAATTCGAATCATTTAAAATATTTTTTTCAAATTCACTAAAGACTTCATTAGAAACCAATAAATCATTAAGATAG